AAACTGCACAGAGGCTAAAACGTTTCTCTCCAAAAAAAAAAACATCATGCCTCATCAATGCACACAATTAGGTCTTTGGTTAAAACGTTCAAAATTGACCGCTGTTACATCAGAACGGGGTGAAAGGGTCGATGAGGGGGGAGGGGCACGGAGGGAAAAGAAGCATGACGATTTGGGGATGAAGCAGCACAACGTACGGAGCAACACCCACCGTTGCGCCGTCGTGCCGGACGAGAAAGCCATGGTAGGATATGACTGCTTTCACCCCTCGTCTATCTGTCCTAGCTGATAAAGTGCAGTTTCCGCTCCGAAATTTCCAGCATCCGCTGCGCGATGATTTTCTTGGTCCGATTGACCGTCTCCGCGTTGTACTTGTCCAATTCGTCCATGGCGTCACTCAAAATGATGTCCTTGATGAGGTCTTCCCATTTGGAGGAGCTCGCAGGGGCTTTGCTCTTCTCCAGGTCAAGCACAGCCTGCACGAGTACCCTCGTCAATCCTTTCTTATCGATCAAGTTATACGCATGTGCTTTTGTAGCCGCACCGATGTATGTGCGAAAGAAGAAGATGGGCACCGACTTAATAAAATAATCACTCGGAAGCAATGTATTATCATCCTTCCCCTTCACGTGGTGTAAAAAAACCGCTTTCATCCTCTGTGGGTATGTCCGAATCATCATCTCTCCTGCCTGTTTGTCCATGTCCCCAGTGTCTCCAATCCATATGTATCTCACTAGGGAATTCTGCTGCAGCACATATTTATGGAGGTGTTTAAAATTGACAAACTTCTTCTCCCCTCTCGTTTCATTCCATACCCACTCCTTCAGCGTCGAGTAAAGAATCTTATTATCACAGTCTATTCCCCAGTTTTTGATTCCTCTCCTTTCTGCCACCTCATTGAATTTTTTGTTAAGAAATGAATCCTCTGTTATGGGTACCTGTGGTATTCTCGCTGTAAGGACGGACAATAACAAAGGCTTCGCTTCTGAAGACAACTTATTCATCGCTAATTCGAAGATGAATTGGAAGGATCCTGGGTAGGTCTCTCCTCTCTGGTACTGAGCGTCCACTCCTCCAAGGGCGTAGTTAAAAAACTTGTAGCCCCCGCTCGATCGGATCGTGTCGTCTATATCGATTATCACTTGGGTAGTTCCCCATTTGAGCCGCTCATTTTTGCAGTCGATTATGCGCCTCTTCATTTTGGCGGCCGCCGGAGGGGGAGCGGCAGAGGGAGCGGAAGCGGTATCGCCAGTACCAACCCCCGCGGCAGCGCGAGTGGAGAAGCGATCCACCTTCCCTTCGTCGTCGCGCTCAACTGGGTGGCCGCTCCTCTCCCTTCTGTGGCCACTTCGCTCTCTTCGATGATCACTTCCCTCTGTTGGATGGCCGCTCCTCTCCCTTTTCCCGTCCCACAGCTCATTTTCTTTGTAAAAAAATCGGTAAACATCTGCACGGGGCTGCCCATCCGGTGGGAGCTTCCCATCCGGCGAGGTCTTCGAGAGACACTTAAAATTGTTTTCATACAGATTTACGTCACTCGACTTGCACACATTCTGCACAGGTGTGTCCTCCGTATCGATGTGTCGTCGCCAAGTTGAGGGGCCCCTTCGGTCAGGTACTTCACTCCACCTTCGTCCCCCTTCAGAGTCCTTCGCCCCAAAGCTCCGATCGAGATGCTCACTGGATAAAGACACGTTCCTGCGATCACTGGGGCTGTTGGTCCTCTTCCCATCCGGCATGTTACATAAGTCTTTAATGGCATGGAAGCATTTTTCTAAATTGCGGTCGTTGATCTTAATAGGGTTTACGTCAAAGTGCGTGTCGTCCATGAAGGGTCTCTGTTCCTCCAGCTCCTTCCGCAGGCTACTCGGAGACAGCCTACTCGGCGACAGCCTACTCCTGTCGGTGGGGGAACCCCGTTTGTATCTCTCCGTGAGTGTATCGTCTACCTGTGCAGTGAGGTTTGCCTTGGGGCGGCTGCGCAGGTCATCACTTATGCCGCCATGCTCGACGTTTCCCGCTGCTTTCAAACTTTTCGCACCGACTCTATAGGCATGTCGTTGCGTCTGGTCACTGTGGGGGTTCCTTTCCCCATGCTTTGGTTCGGGGGGACTCTCCCTTTGATTCGGCCCGATTGGCTTCCCTTCCGGTGCATTACCCCTTTGATTCTTCCCGCTATCAGCACCGTACCTCTGCATAGATCTATCTTCCTCCTCGTTCGCATCTTGGACGTAAACATGGCCGCTGCTTAAGGATTTTTTACTGAGTGGAAGACCCATGTCATTGTGTGCCCCCCCCCTGGGTGGAGATCCCACCTGCTGTGAGTAACTCTGGGAGCCGTACTTCCTAAGGGAGTACTTGGGGGTGCTGCTTTTCTTCACCTTATGCGTATCGACAAAGGTCATCTGAATGGTTGGAAGGGCAGGGTTACTCCTGTCGTTACCCACTGGGGTGACAGTGTCGGCCTGCTCGTCCTGTTCTGCCACCCAGGCGCTGTTGCACTTATCACAGTCATCATTGGCGATTTCTTTACTTCGGCTTTCTTCCCTACCGTTTCCTTCGCTGTCTCTTCCTTCACTACCGCTTTCTTCTACGTCGCTCCCTTCGATATGTCCCCCCCTGTGATGTCTCCCCCCCTTTTTGGTCTTCTTCTCCTGGACGGACTCCTCTATCCGGCTAATAATCCTCGTCACATTGTTGGTAACGCCCCCCCGGTGTGTGTCCTTCCCCCTCTGCCTATCGGAAGTGCAGACCGATGAGGTCGCCCAACCGTCAGGAGCTAACTCGGAAAAAGGAGGGCTGTCCTCGTCATCACTGTTTACCTTCCTAGAGTGAAGAAGCGGCAGAGCAAAAAATGGGCCCCGTTCCTCTACCCTGTGACTGTATTGTCTGCTTGTCTTGCCAGCGCGGCTTCCCTCCCGTGGACGACTCGTCCGTTTTGCTCCCTTGGCATAATGACTGTGTTGGTTGGACTGGGGGTCAATCCTATGTGTCGCTTCATCTTTGGAGGAAGTGATTGGCATCGCAGAGATATGGACGCCGATATAGCTACCGCTTTCATCACTGTGGTTATTCTGATGGGAGAGTGTCTCCTTTATGTCTTCCCTGTTGGCGACTCCTGCTAAAGGTTCGTTTGTCGCACTGATGACGGGGGTTCGGCCAGCTTTCCCCTTCTCACTTTCCTCATCTGAGGATACACATTTCCTCCATTTCTTCCATTCGTCCTTTCTTACATGTCGATGTATGTGTGTTTGTCCCGCTTCTGTAATTTCGGAGGGGTTACCCTTCCCCATTTCACTGCAAACGGGGGGAGGGTTCCTTCCACCTGTGTGGTAACCATGACGGGATGTTTTTTCACTTCTTTCTTCACTTTCGCCTGAACAGTTCAGGTACTTCTCCGGTGGCGGTTGCTTTTCCCTGTGATTGGAAGTACATAGGAGGTCACCGTGAACACTGCTGATGGGGTCACAACGCAGGTTGCTTGGCGGATTGTCACTATAGTTACTGTTTCTGGGGGTGCCCCCACCATTGTGGCTGCCATGATCATCGCGAATGGCTTCTGGCCCGTCTTTGTCACCCCCAAGTAGGAGCAAGTTACGAAACTTATCTACAAATTGAGCAGAGTCGCCCTTTTGGTCACTGTCTGCATCGTCCCCATCATCACTGTCATCGACGCCATCGAACCAGTGGGTATCCTTCTTCTCGATGTTACTACTTACATTGTTCATACTTTCGTACAACTTGGAGTGAATCAGCTTCTCCTGCTCTTCCTCCTCGTCCTCTGTCAAGTCAGGCTCTTTGTGTAACTTACTCGGGGAACAGACACTGAGGTCATCGAGGCTTATTTTGTCTTCATCCGAATCGTCTTCCTCTCCTTCTTGGTTCAGCCTTTTTATGTCATTCATTTCGATGCATTCAAAGGTGGGCTTCTCCTTGTCTAGTTTTTTTATCATGAGTGGAGTGATGGGAATGGGAAGCGTGATGGGAAGGGAATCGTGAACTTGGCGGTGGAGTGTTCTCTAGCTGGGCTCTAATGAGAGTCTGGGGCCCTTTCACCTCCTCGGTTTGGAGGGGGTACAAATGAGGTACAAGTGAGGTACAGATGGTCGGTGATAATCTCCTCCCCTGCGATGTGTGCAGATACAGTAAGGGCAGAAGGCAAATCGAAAAGGGGGTCGCTCAACGGGGGAGGAGAAAGTATCTTACGGGAGGGAGTGCCTTCGAAACTACCACCACGTGAATGCGGTTAAAGCTGCTTGAAAGGTGGGTAGTTGAAGATACGAAGCGGAGGAGAGGTTAGACAAACGCGAAGTCAGACACGTGCGAGGTTAGACAAACGCGAGGTTAGACACGTGCGAGGTTAGACACACGCGCATAGATTCAAAGGGACAATTAAAAGGGCTGGTTGTCACGGGCGGCGTCGCATGCTGTGCATTCTGTGCATGGGTGCAGATCCCAGTGGAGACACACTGCCTGGTGGACGCCACGAAGTAACGATAAAGTGAAAACGAACAAACTTGCGGAGTGGTCTCAGTGTAGGAGCTGTTCTGGTTTGCTCTCCTCTGCGTTCCTCTGCCTCCGCTTCTCTGCTTCCGCTTCTCTGCTTTGTTAGTCCTAATAGGACCACGTGGAGAGCTTCCTTTTTCATAAAATGGCCAACCTATTCAGTGCCGCTTCGCTCGTTGGTACTCCCTGTCGTGTTGACCTTCATCAGCCAAACGCCTTCTCCTTCTGATGGTGCTTCTCCGCAGGGAGGGACACGACAGTGGGTATAACGTCTAAATGTTATTACGCACCGATGTGATGAGAGGGAAGATAACTAGGCCCACATGACTACGCGGACACTCCGGCGAGGGAACATTCATAGGTGCACCCTCCAGCGAAGGGACATCCATTCGTGTTGGCCCCCGCGAATCTCCTTCCTCAGGTGCGAGTCACTATTTGGACTAACGGGCATAACTTCCCGGACTTAAAAAGGAGAAGAAAAGAAAATGGGGCGTCCGCTGCAATGGGGTGTTCCTATCTGCGGCTGTGCGGATGCCTAGGCAATATGGCTAAGAATGTGGCTCTACCGATATGGCTCTATCGATATGCCTACTCATATGGCTCTACTGATATGGCTCTATCGATATGCCTACTCATATGGCTCTACTGATATGGCTCTATCGATATGTCTCTACCGATATGCCTATGCGGGGCGGCCTCCTGCTCGGGGGGGATATATAGCCTAAAGCGTACGAGTGGCTCTCGGCGTGATGCAGGTATACTCCCCTATCGCCTATAGGCATAGGGGGTAGGGTAGATGCGCAGCCACAGGACGATAGCAGAGCGAGTAAAACGAGAGTGAAGCGCAATTAAAGCGCGATTAAAGCGCGGGGGGTTTATGTGAACAAAAAAAAGAAGCGTCAGTAGAGCTGTGCGAGGCGGGAACTCACATTCGAGTGATTCGCCAAAGGAACGAATGCATGGCGCGCCAGCAGTTCACTCGGGAGATTATTACAAATGAGTTTCATGCAGTTAAGCACGCACTCACATAAGCACGTTTGTATATACATGCATATGTACCTAGGGTATGCATAACGGCAGAGTGAAAAAAGAAAAGGAAAAAAAAAAAAAATGCTAGCTCATTAACAAACGCGGGCACAGAAATGACAGGGAAGCGGGGATTGCGCAGCTTGGCGCGCGTGCGATTAGCGAACGATGGGCTGTTCATCTGTTCGCCTGTTCCCTCACATATGCTGCATTTAAGAGGGGAAAAAGTTGCACAAGATAAAGGAAGATTTTTTTTTCTTCTTAAAAACTTAGGGACTTTGCCCAAGTGGACATTTTTGCCAAACGGAAAAAAAAGTGTAACTGTCCCGCCGACTGGTTTTTATTTTCCCTGCTGAGTTGATCGCAGGTAAGTTGGTGGGGGTCTGCTGTTTAGGCTGCGAAGTGACGGCACAATGGGGGGCAGAATGAGGTGCAGGGAGGTTCTTTCCTGTATCTGCACTGAGGGGTGTAGCGGCGAAACAATGCAGGTTCCTCCTCGATAAGCCCCCCGGGGCTCGGCGCGGGGTAAGACGCCAATCTACACAAAGGTGTGGGCAAGTCATGTATGCCTGTGCCTACCTGTGAGGAGTTGCGCGAGCTGGCAACGTGGAGTGTGCTGGAGGAGTGTGATCATGGAGTGTCAGTCAGCCTGGCCCTCCACTGTGCACACCCCTGTTATAGTGGTAAAGCTGAACGAACCGTTACGCCTGTGCCAATGCGAAAAAATCGTAAAAATAGGAAAAAAAAAAGGCTACAAGAATTTGTTAAAAGAAAAGATAGCGGCAAAGACGCTACCTAAGGGGACGAGCTTCCCATGTGGACAAACAAAAAACCTCCACGCGCACCATTCTGTTATAGAAAAATTGTTCCCCTGTGCAGGTTTATAAATAAAGGAGCGCTTACGCTGGGCAGACATGTTTTTTTTTTCTTTTTTTTTCATCCATGATTCCTCCGACCATTCCATGTCTAACTTGCGATTACCGACGGTGCAAAGGTATGAACATGGAGGTGACCGATTAGCAGATGGGGGTTGAGATCGCGCTGTTTTTTTTTCACCTACGCAACTGCAGCGGCGCTTTGCAGGGAGGAAGCGTCCCTCGGGGGAGGGGTGTTTTACTCCTCCTTTAGCGACTACCCTAATGAGCACACGTGTGCGAGGTAACCCCCTTAAGATACGTTCGAACTAAACCCGCGTCTGCTTCGTCGTCTGCTTCTGCTGCTTCTTCCGCTTCACCTGTTGCCTCCCTTCCGATGCTGCACAGGGTCCGTCCAACCCTGTATAGTATCAAAACGGGGAAAACACCACTCGCAGACACGGTTAAATACGCATGGGAAGGTGTGCCAAATCTGCTGACACGGATTTTACCCCCTCTTGGGAAAACGAGACAGAGAGCAGTGCCGATGATGTAACAACCCCACTCTCGCACGAAATGGCAAGAGAAAAGAAAAGGAAGACTCCTCAGGTACAAAACGACATTTTCTTTTTATTGACTTCCTCATCACCAACAATAATCTGTGCCAAATCGGGCTCTCCCTTTGGTTATATATACGTCTGCGAAAGGGCAGCGAGGGGCCTCCCCCATGAGTGGGCGGTGCCGCCACAACCTAGTGCAACGAAAAACCGATGCAACGAAAAACCGATGCAACGAGAAACGCATGCAAGGAGAAACTTGTCTAACAACAAACTTGTCTAACGATAAACGCATGAAACCACAAACTGGTGTAATGACAACCTCCTGTACCGCCCTCCTGGTGGCAACGATCCCCCCCCTGTGTGCCAGCCGTCTCGTTCTAGTATGTTCCCAGGGTAGTGAAGAAGACACGTAAGCTGCCAGTGGGCGAGGACTGTACCAGGGTGCTCCTCGTGGGGTCTCCACCACGGATTCCTCCAATGGTACACATAACTATGTTCGTTTCGCCTCCACGCGGTGATGTACACAAGAGCGTGCCAGGAGTCCTCTGTGTGGACGTGCCCATAAACGTACAGAGAAGCAAATTAGAGGAGCGACCCACCCCCTTCTCCTTCTTCCCTCCATTTGTGGTCCATCAACTAAGCACACCATCATATCAGCAGCGTTGTTTGGAACTCTTCTCCCTATTTTTTTAACATCTGTGATGCGAAATGGTGTAACGCGCAGGTGTGGGGAGGAGGAAGTAGCACTACATCACTATTTGGTGTCCGTATTTAATCCGTTTGTTCGGAGCGGGTTGTAGAAAAAACAAAAAAAAAAAACAAATCACAACAATGGGGTGAGTGTGGCGATGATGACTCCGCTCGAGGAGCCGAATTGGTTTACGAACCGACGGGAGGACCGGAAAAAAAAAAAAAATGGTCGCCTCCCCCACCCCCCAACTGCGTGGGAGCGTACAGGGGAAGGGATGCGCACCAGCAGCCATATACCCCTGCAAATTACGCTTCTCCGATTTTTTTTTTGCTTCTTTTTTTTTTCTGTTACTACATATTGAGTTGGCGACGCGAAGAGAAGCAACTTCAAAGGTTCACACGCTGAATCGGAAGAAGAATAAAAAGAGGGAGTAAAAGAAAAGGAAAAAAAAACAGAGCGAGGCATGGATGTGCAGATGCATGGCCAAGAAGGGATGCCTACGGGGACCCACGAGAAGGCGCATGAACGTATGCATGTATACCAGTTCGTATGCGTATAGAGGAGAGGGTCTACCAGTGAGCACCCGTCGCGGAGCGTTTCTCTGCCGGGAAGAGGGTAGAAGTGAGGCACCACGGGAGGAGGGGTAGCGTCGGATCGAGGCATCACATGAGCAATACCGCCGGAGCAGGAACCCCCAGCCCCCGCGAAGGCCAACAATAACGAGGTGACCACCCGGGGTGAGGACTCACAACAGGGAATACGACACGGAAGAGGAAACAGAAGACGACACAGAATACGCCCTTCCACCGCAACGCCCGACACCCCGACGATGAGCTCCATCATCGTACGCCTGAGGTGCGAAGTTGGAATGTATCGCATCGAAATTAACAGTAACAAAAGACTGACCGATTTGAAGAATAAAATTGAGGAACTATTAAATGTGCCAGTGGAGAAGCAGCGTCTTTTTCTTCAGGAGGAACCCAACGTCCCTTTGACAGACAATGGGGCGCTTCTGGAACAGTGTAAGATTACCCATGGGTCTCTTCTACATCTGAAGGGTGAGGTGAAGCCGACCCCGAATGGTGGGAAGCGTCTGGATGGTGATGGGGAGGGAAGTGCCAAGTGGAGGAGCGACAATGCAGGTAGCCACAATGGGGGTAACCTCAATGAGTGTAATGCAACAGGTGGAAAGATGAAAAAGGGGTTCGAACAGACACCAGGCGGTGGATATAGGGGCCTCGATACGATGGGTCACTCCCCTCGGAAGGATCCTCTAACCCCCCAGAAGGGAAAAAACGAGGAAGGAAAAACCAACAACGAAAAGGAGAACAGCGAAAAAAACCAAGCCAATTTCAAATCTTTCGATTACTTCCTAAAAATGAGAGAGTATAACACGACGGATCTTCCACTAAATCTGACGTACCAATCGGTGTTTCTAACGAAGGGGCGATTCATTAAGATCCCATTGAGTGTGACGCTGAAGCATCAGGAATATCGCCATGTAGACCATCTCGAATTTATGAACGTAGAGGAGGTGAAAAATTTCGTTCAGTATTGGTACACAAATGGAAGCATGACAGAACAGAGAGTCGGCTGGATGTATGGTTACTATAGGGAAGACCCTCATTACACTCTGGGAATACGAGCCGTGTGCGAATGTATATACGAACCTCCACAGATAAATGAGGTTGATAAAGTTAAGCTGCTACCGGACGACTTTCTCGACTCTGTTGATGTGATTGCAAACCGATTAGGTCTCGAAAGAATTGGTTGGATCTTTACACATCTGCCAAGGAAAGAACACTTAACATCGGAGGAAGTGGTCCAGATAGCTAAATTGCAGCTAGCTAATTTGAAGAAAAATGTACACTATACTAATTATAGCGTTTCTAATTTTGTAACTTGCACCATTTCACCAGATCCTATGTTAAGTAACGAACCAGTGACGAATGCCTTCATGGTGTCCGACTTAGGGATGGCATTAATTCGATCCAATTTGGTGGATTCGACACAGACAGATCCTTCCCTTATACAACTGAGGAATCCTGTACAGAATGAGCTTCTTCCTCTCATTCTAGAAGGAGGGAAAGAAACCAACAAGTTTGATGCCGACTGGTTTATTGTTCGTATTAATGAATCAGCCCCTAAAGTCGTTAGGTCCCTTTTTAAAAACTTCCATTTCCCCAGGGAAAATCGGCTGCACTCGCCCACTGCCTACGATGTAAAGGAGTACTTCTCCAGCCCCAAGTTGGAGAGGGGCACCAATGGCATGCATAGGTGCTCCGACTTCCACTTGATTTTGTTCGCCTGCCGCGTGCTCGACATGGAGACTGCGCTCGCTCTCTGCGACGCCGCGCTCAGGAAGAAGGAGATCGACCCCATCATGGAGGAGATCCTCACCTCGATGAAGCGGTGAAGTGGCGCGGCCAGCGTCATGGTTGGCCTTATGGTTGGCCACGTGTGACACATGTGTACGTATGTATGTGCACTCATTTTTTTTTTTTTTTTTTTTTTTTCCCAACGCTTGCCTATTTGCCCAATAAGACTGTCTACCCCTTGTCGAATCACCCACGTTGTGTGTTCCCACGTAAATAGAGGAGTTAGCCGGTTAAAATGCCCCCGGACGGGGGACACTCTGTGCCAGGAAAAAAAAATGGAAGGACGTCTTTTTCCACATTTTTTACCTGAACAAGTCAGGTTGTTCAGGCGAAAAAAGGGACGCCCTCCACCCCCACGACAATTGTCCACTTTTCCCAAAATAAATCCACTCAACGGGGAATAAACCAAAATGATCTTCTCTTTCACCAGGTAGATGGGGATGCTCCAGCGAACTGCCTTTCGGAGGAGAGGATCTCCACGGGGGTTATACACACATTAATGTTAATGTTTTTTTCTTTTCTTGTTATCGTCGAGAATTGCAAAAATGGCTGCTTCAATAAACGTTGGATAACTCATTTCTGCAATTCTCGACGATCAAAGGGGAAAAAAAAAAGGCAAAGAGGCACTCCTCAGAGGGAACAATAGACGAAAAAATTCAAAAAAATAGGATAAATAAGAAAAAAAATAAAATAAAACGCACACATTTCGTGTGATATCTGCGCAGGTACACACACACAGCGTTAACGCGTTCGTATTATCCTCCCGTGGGCAGAGAAAAAGATACTGCCTCTTCCCTGCGGGATGTGTCCTACGTTCACTCGAATGAACTCGCTGCAGGAAGGGCCCTTCCCTCCCTCTAACGAGAAGAAGAAACAATGTACAGTTAATGATTGGGCCCACTGGCTGCGTTGCTTCCGTTGTTGTTGGCACTGCCTCCATTGCTACCTGCCTTTGCGGTGCTGCCTGTCTTTCCGTTGCTGCCTTTCTTTGCATTGCTGCCCGCCTTTCCATTGATCCCAGCCTTTCCTGCGCTGTTCGCACCTCCGCCGCTACTTCCCTCGTGTGCGCTGGGGACGTTTGTCCCGTTACTGCTGCTGGTGTTGTTCGTGGCGCCGGCTGCACCATTCGCGTTATTCGCGCTATTTGCGGCGCTGTTCATGGCATTGCTGCTCGGGGCAGCATTACTCAGTGCTGACGCTCCCGCACTACTCGGTGCAGCGCTCCCGCTTGTCATCCCGCTTGCCATCGCCTTAACCGAGCCAGCCTTGCTGCTAACGCTCGGGTTGCTCGCACCTCCCATGTGCACCTTGTCCTTAAAGGAGTTGCTGCCGGAGGAGACGAGGCCTCCACTGGGATGCGCCCCACCAGCATGACCACCAGCAGAATGACCACCAGTACCGTGTCCGCCGCTGACTCCTGCCGCGGAGGAGCCCTCACTCATGCTCGCCGGAATGCCGACCCCCGCATAGGTGCTCTTCGAACCACCGGCACTGTGGAGACCCTGTCTCAGTCCCCCGCTCACGCCGCTATGTCCTCCTGCGTGGGGAGCGGCGGCATATCCTCCAACGTGGGAAGTGGTATGGGCAGTGGCATGCGCACCGGCGTGTTCCCTTGTCTGCATACCAGGGGCCACCCCCCCTTGAGTCCCCGCCTGCCCAGCTGCATGTGACCCAACGTGGCTGCCGCTCTGTACCCCGACCTGGCTACCAATGTGACTACCCGCGTGGCTTCCCCCGGGGACGTGCGTGACATCCTCGCTGTTAATATTGTAAAGAAGTTGCAGAAGCCACTTCTTGGTGTAAGGGTCCTCCTTGAGGCATGGAATAAAAGCCTTGTGCACATGTCTCAACGATTCAGGGAGGCATTCCCTAAGTGCCTTCAAGGCTTTGGGATTTTCAGACAGCCTTAAGTAACACCTGACAATATGCTTTAACAATCTGGAGGATGGATTCTCTATCAATGCATTAACCATATTTGAAAGGACCGTTGACACGGCATAGAATCTCACAGGAGTGGCACATATGTAGTTGAGTCCCAATTCGTCGATTAGAATCTTCTGCACAATAAAGGTAGCCACCGTTTTGGATAATTCACTTCCTGTCTCCATAATACGTAAGCAAAGTGGGATGATCTCCGTCTGCAAGAGGAAGTTAATTACGTCGGGGTTGTCGACCTTAACTAATGCACCAATGACCCCTAGAGAAGTTAGGCGCAAATACTCAAAGGGTCTATTTTTAGATTCTGCATTTAGAAATGGATAAAGGAACAAAGGAATATGTGCATTGAGGAAGTGCTGCTTGGTCTCGGGGTGCGATGCCACACACTGGAGAAGTGCTAGTGAGTTGCAGACGCGGTTAGAAGATGAGGTGGTCAGTAAGGGAGGTGATAACTGAGGATATATCGACACAATTTCTTGAAGTAACGTCGTTATCGTTCCAAATGAGTTCCACAAAACCGGTGCAATGTCGTGGTAGGTTTCTCGTTTTCTAGACAACTCTAGTAATGCACTATCCCTCTTATCTGAGTAGCATAAGTCAAAGACGAGCTGGTACACCTTCCTTTTTTCCTCGTCATCGGTTGGAGGTGTGTTACGTGCGTTGGTTGCATTGTTGGCGTGGCTGCTACTTGTACCTGTGTTTCCGCGGTCATTCCCGTTGCCATTCTCGCTTCCATCCCCGTTGCCGCCTTCGTTCGGTACATGCTCGCTGTGTTGGCCGTATTGACCGATACCGCTAGTTAGGCTTCTCATACCAGTGGCCGAACTGCTGTTCTTCACATTGCGCGTGTTTGAAGTGGGAGGAACGACGCCGTGGCTGGACGATGCTCCCTGATGTTGGGGAGAAGCGTGTCGCCCTCCGCCCACACCGTTAGCACTGCCTTGAGCAATTCCCTGCGCCACGCTGTTCAGGGGAGCTGACACTGCGACGTTGGATGCTGACCCACCCTGGCTAGGAGTACTGAGGTTCGCGATGCCCTGGTTGGGACCGCCCTGACTGGGAGTGCTCTGATTGGGACCCCCCTGATTTGGACCACCCTGATTTGGACCGCCCTGACTGGAGTTGCTCTGATTGGGATTACCTTGGATGGGGTTACCCTGACTGGGGGTGCCCCTCGCGGCCGCGTTCCTCCCCGCCCCACCTCTACTGGCGTTGCTCTCATTTGTGCTGTGGTGATACGCTCCACCCCGCGAACCCAGACCAAGGCCACTGTTGAGGCCGCTGGCGCTCCCGGCAGTGTTGCTACTCGCCCCGGCGCTCCCAACACCGGCATTCACGTTCCCCACATTGCTCGTGTTATTCACCTTGTATCCACTGGCAAAACCGTCATTGCTTACCATCGTTTGAAGGGGGAAGATGGCAGTTCGGGGGAAAGAAGAAGAAGAAGAAAAAAAATACCACACAAAAGAGGGGAAATGAAGTAAATTAACTAAAGGCGACGTAAACCAACCAGCCGTCACTCAAAGCAACGCAGAGTAAAAAAAAAAAAAAAAAAAACTGACCTTCCACGTGGTGGTTCAATAGGCATTTCCTATAAGTAAATACCTTTGACCCAGTCGTTAAAAAAACGGAAAGTGAGTTTGGGGGGAGGGGAAGAATTCCCCCGACTCGGGGTCGCACAGAGCAGGAGTTTCTAATATGTATGACGTAAGCCCTACGCAAATAAGGCGAAGGAAGGGCTTCAGGGGGGCGGAAGGGAACAGATGATGTCATGCATAGCAATGTTTCGTCTCAGTAAACTCATCGGGGTCATTCCCCCCAATTGTTGGAAAGGGGAAAATTTTATTTTTTTTTTTTTTCTTCCTTTCCAAAACGTATGCGTCTTTTAACCCCTTCCGATGTGGCCGCCTCTCTGGGCAGTAGCTACCTCTTCCAGGGTTACTTCTCCTCGGCACACAGTTGATAGTACTTTTTCCATTCGGTAAACTGCCCTATCATTTCCTTTTAATTTCTACATTTCATGGGAGGAGCTTTCTGCATGCATGTCGCAGAGGTACATGGGTGGGAAGATACGAAGTTGTGAACGATCCAGCGCAGTGGGGATGCCCTCAATCTTTAGTTGCATTCATGGAAGGAAGGTGCGGCGCTGAAAGTGGCCTTCCCTGCCGCTTTGTTGTCGCCAAGACGAGGAACCCATATAGGGTTAAAGATCCCCCCTTGTGTGCGATTTGCTGCACTTTCAAGACCCCCCACGTGCAAATACATGACTGTTTTGCACACCCCGTGGCGGAGGTCCCCCCCCAGACCGCGCGTTAGATTTCCAGACGAACCGCTAACCGATCATTTGTGATGGAGAGAATTTCCCCTTGGGGAGTACCGCCCGCTCTGATAATAAGTGGCTAATGGAAAAAGGGGAAGAAGATGGGCATCGCCTCTTTCCCCCCGTCGGGTGTTCCCCTTTTATGTAGAGCACCAAGTTGCCAGTTGGGGCAGCGCAGTGGGGCCTGCCCCCCACGTAGAGATAAAAGGGGGGCCCTGAAGATGCGTTACAATTCTGTTATCCCGAGAGGGAAGGGGAAGTAAGTGATCGTCCTTTTTTTTTACCGAAACCGTAGGAGGCTAAGTTATGGAGGTACCTAATGGCCTGACGTGACAACTCCTCCTAGCCAAGTGTGATGCAGTCATTCAGCATGTTCACAGCCCAGCTGTGCAGCAAAGAAGGTGTTCCTTCTTTTTTTTTTTTTCCTAAGAGACGGCGTAAAAATATGTCAAAACGGGGATCTTCCCTTCGGTCTGAGGGTTGCTCCATGTTCTGCGCAATTCTGGACAGGGCAAAGGTTGTCGCGATGGTGGCACTGCCCTTTTATTGCTCACCGAGGGGATAGCGGAGGTGGCAAAAAAAGAAAAAAGTAAAAAAAAAAAGATCAAATAAAATAAACTAACCAGCCAAGAAACAGACGGGACGTAATTTCCCGACGCGGAACCCCAAGTTCACAGTTTACCTCTTCCAGAGGGAGAAACACCCCTGGGCGAAACCCTCGTGTGGCCGCTTCTCCGCGCACCCTGGAGTGGGTCAGCGGCAAATCTCTACTAACATGTCGCTACTGACGCACCGCTATTAACACTCCCCTGTTCGCCCATTTGATGAAGCGAAATTTTTGCAGGACAAAACTCCCACAGGGGGGCAGAAACAAAGTTACAACTAAGTTCTGTGTGCATTGGTAAAATGTACAGTATGAGGGGGGGCCAACTCAGTAGGCTGTTCTATTTTTTTTATTTTTTTTTTTATTTATTTTTTTCTTTCTTCTTTTTCTGCCAGTTGGAGAAAAGTACCAACAACCGATACTGCCTTGCCGTCTGGTCCACACACACCGAAGCGGTACAAAAGTAAAAAAAGAAATCGGAAATTTTTGATCCGCAGTGGGAAAAAAAAACAGAGTTGCAAGAGGGACAAAAATGGAGGCAATTGTTTCCCCGTGGCCCATACCCTGACTCTGACCCCCTTCCTTTAAGTTAAAAATGGGCGAAAGACGCAGATGCGGGGAAAGACGCACACCGAGGGAAAGACGTACACCGGGGGCAAGGACGCAGATGCGGGGAAAGAAGCAAAGGAGAAAAATTGCCGCCGATCAGAAAGTGCACACCAGCGCCAACACTGCCGTGCAGAGAAGGAAAGGAGAGTCCACCATGAAGAGCAAGAAAAACAAAAAAAAGAAAAGGAGTGGACGCGGAGCAAGCAATTCTCCAGAAAAGAAAATCGCAGAACCGCTTTCCCGGGACAGACTTACCCCGTTGAGTCAAACGGGAAACGTCAACACTAGGGTGCCAGTGCCCCACCGGGAACGCCCAACTGAGAGTGTCTTATGCAACTGTTTTTTTTTTCTTCTTTTTTTTTTCTTTTTTTTTTTTTTTTCTGCACGTGGTAATTTCCCGCGTCTAGATATTTACACACAGGGGGAAATGCACTCCTTTGTAATGAAGCATCTCTGGACATTAGAGGAAACGAAACAGGCAGATGCAATGTGCTCGGGGTTAATCACGTGTGTAATCAAATGAGAGGAGTTCGTCCGTCTGAACGTTCCAATTTTCTTACACAAAATTGTTTTAACGATTCGCAACTTCGTGAAAAAGAGGTGTGAATTTTGTGTGGAAAAAAAAAAAATAAAAAAAAATAAATAAAAAAATAAAAAAATAAATAAATAAATAAATTAAAAATAAAAAATAAATAAATTGTCTCCTTTTTTATTACATTGACTAGATCTGTAACAGCGATCATCACTATCGCTAGCCGTACATGAACACCAATTCCACAACAATGCACGGAAGAAACTCCACTTAGACGCATTTTGCGGCCCTTGCTCTTTCCCCTCCATGAACCATAAAACTTAATTTTTAATAGGACTGTCATTTTTAGTAGATTTATATATCTGCTTAATGAAAGGCAAACTGGTGAGGAGATATAGAACCTCCCCGCAGCTTGCTACCTCTGATTGCTACCTTTGATTGTTCGTTTTCCCCATTTGGGTGAGGCACCACCTCGACGGCATTATATTGCTCCCTGCAGTCCCTCGTTTGTCTGTCCCCACACCCACTCATACACTGGTGTGGCTCTTTCATGTGTACGTACATCCGAGCGGAACTTCACCGCAACTCGACTTTTTTTTTCTCTTTTTTTTTTTTTTTTTTTTCCTTTCTGCTGCACTTCTTCTCCTAACCGCTACACAAGCTTCAAAAAAGCGACACGCGAGGGGGAAATATTTACATTGAAGGGAGGAGCCATCCATCCGTCAATTCACTTGTCCATTCGGCAGTCCATCTGTCCATCCATCCGTCCGACGAACCTACCGAATTGTCACCCCATTGGGGACAAACCTTTTGTCCTGCATCTTTCCACGTGGTAACTCCTCTACACCAGCACAATGGTGCTGACGCGAAGAGTGGCCCTGCTTCTCTACCCATGGGTATTCCAGCTGCTAATCCAGCGAACCTTCGCAAATGGCATTCTGGCGAATGAGGGGAAGGAGGAAAAAGATGATGTGCATAAAATTATAAGTGAGTTACGGTTTCTACAGAAGGTAGAGACCATTTTGGAGAACAGCAACATGAGCGTTTCAGATGTAGAGGCAGATGTGAATGCATACAATCCGGACAAAAACGCCCCCAGGGAAGAGCTGGAGAAGCTCCAAGACCAGCAGGAGGAACCTGAGAAACAAAATAGTCACCTACGTAAGAACGTACAAGGAACAGAAGAAAAAAAAGAGTCCTCCATAAAAAACAAAAAAAAGTTACGATTAATCGTCAGTGAGAATCATGCAACGACGCCGTCCTTCTTCGAGGAGTCTCTACTTCAGGAAGAGGTGATGAGCTTTATCCAGAGTAAAGGGAAGTTGTCCAATTTAAAAAATCTGAAGTCGATAATAATCGATCTGAATACCGACATGACGGATGAGGAGTTGGCAGAGTATATTAAGATGCTGGAGAAAAAGGGGGCCCTCATAGAATCGGACAAGCTGGTGGGAGCGGACGACATCAGCCTTACATCTATAAAGGAGGCAGTTAGGCGTGGAGAGAGTCGCTTAAATTTGGACAAACTTCACAGTAACATGCTGGAGGTGCAGGAGAAGGAGGCGCAACCCAGGCACGCCGATGGTGGCAGCGGCAACAGCGGCATCGGTGACGATCATGATGGCTTCCTGTCAGAGCCCTACCTCGGAGCGAGTAAAACAAGCAATCCGTACAAATTCAATGACGAATATAGAAACCTGCAGTGGGGACTAGACCTTGCCAGGCTAGACGAAACACAGGAACTGATAGACACCAACCGAGTGACTGCGACAAAGATCTGTGTAATTGATAGCGGAATCGATTACAATCATCCCGATTTAAGAAAAAACATCGACGTCAATTTGAAAGAGCTAGTCGGAAGAAAAGGAGTAGACGATGACAACAATGGAATCGTGGACGATGTGTATGGAGCCAATTTTGTAAATAACAGTGGTGATCCCATGGACGACAACTATCATGGAACCCATGTGTCCGGAATCATTTCCGCCGTTGGAAATAATGGCATCGGCGTAGTAGGAGTCGATGGGCACTCTAAGCTAGTGATATGTAAGGCTCTAGATCAGCACAAGTTGGGACGATTAGGAGATATGTTTAAATGTATTGATTATTGCATTAGTAGAAAAGCACATATGATTAATGGAAGTTTCTCATTCGACGAATACAGTAGTATTTTCAACGCATCGGTGGACTACTTACGATCGTTAGGAATCCTTTTCTTCGTCTCAGCAAGCAACTGTTCCCATGATAAGATGATGAAACCGGACATGACGAAGTGTGACCTTGCCGTTAATAATAAGTACCCTCCTCTATTGTCCAGGACACACGACAACGTCATTTCTGTTGCGAATTTAAAGAAAGATTTAGATCAGAGTTACTCCTTATCTGTGAACTCCTTTTACAGTAACATTTATTGCCAGTTGGCTGCCCCTGGGACAAACATATATTCTACGACTCCCTTGAATAGTTATAGAAAACTGAATGGGACTTCCATGGCATCTCCTCACGTCGCTGCAATCGCTTCTATCATTAGGTCTATTAACCCTAATTTGACTTATCAGGAAATTGTCGAGATAATGAGGAAAGCTATTGTGAAGCTGTCCTCGCTGAAGGGGAAGGTCTCCTGGGGGGGCTACGTGGACATCCTGCGCGCCGTCAACCTCGCCATCGACTCCAAGGAGGCGCCCTACATCAAGTCGCAGAGCTGGTTCAGCTGGAAGAAGCGCGCCCGATGAGGGGGGGGCCCCATGGAGCGGTACAGCAGCGGAGCAGCGGAGCAACGGAGCGGTAGCGCAATGGAAAGACTTCCCATCACAGAGGCATCGCAATGGAAAGATTTCGCATCACAGCAGATCCGCCTCCCAGCATGAAGAGGCGAGAGGACTCCCCCTCCTTCTCAGCCCTACCCCTTAAAGGGCGAACCCTTTGCTCAATTTGCAGAAAAACTGTACGCGCGGTGGGGAAGCTACGACTGGGCTCCCCGCTTCGCAACTCGCGTCTTTTCCCAGGTGTGCATGCGGAGAGGGTCACCCGAAGGTGCCCCCAAGCGTGCGCCCAACCGTTCATCCAACCATTCACCCAAATGTTGCCCGAAACCAGTGTCCTTTTTGCAAAAATTTTGTGCGTGTTTGGCTCGTCTACCTTGAGCCATGCTCTCCCCCCAGATGCGTCTTTTCGCATGGGTGTCTTGTGGACAGGGTCGCACCTCACTTGTGATGACTATTCCGTCTTGTACACTGATTTTTTCCTACGTTTATGCCGCAGCTTCGTTACTACGTCTATGCCGCAATTCGTTATTACCTTTTTTTTTCAACACATTTTGTTACCACCCGTTTTTACCTTTCGCCTGAACATGTTCAGGCAAAAACTGTTAAACTTTGTTAACCGATTGTAACGCAACGTGGTGTTTAGGAGGTACCTGCGTGTAAACGGTTAGAAACTTGTTGTCAACGTCCAAATCGCGTTCTTCCGCTTCGCAGCGGCGCGCATTTCTGTATAGGAAAAAGTGGTACATGTGTGCACATGGTTATTTTTTTTTTTTTTTTTTTAAGGGAAAAAAATTTGCAAACACGTCGGCGAGGGAGGAAGTAAACCTTCCAAGGGATGGGAAAATTCCTTCTCATGTACATTTTTAAAATTGATGAGGAATAGGCGCTCCACAGAATCAGGAGAAAGTTCAATTGTCCTGCGACCTCTCACCGTGCGGAGATTTGCGCAACAGCGTTTGTCCGTATCTGCACACCTGGGTAAACACACGTGTGCGCGTGCGTCCACGCCGAAAGGGGGCGCACAATCGCTCTGCACAAATGCCGCGTACCCCCACTGCGCTATGCGGTAGTTTCTCCTGCACGAGCAAACGTTTGGGAGGGATCAGGAAAGGAAAAAAAATAAAACAGTAAAGAGGCAGTCAAGCACCCAATCAGACACGCTATCTAAGCAAATGTAGCACTTGCACAAATTCCCACTCGCACCGACTCTGCAGACGGCCAGTAGCCCCCGCCTATCCACACATTAGCATGAAAACCCCCTCGTGCAGCACATTTGCATTATTGGCATCCCTGCTATTCATGACCTATCCCGGGTACAACCTAACCCCAGCACATTCGATGCCCCCGGAACAGACACAATGGGAAGGGGAACAGAACGACAGCGGGTGCAACAACCAAGTGTTATTAAAAATAATCAAAAACGAAATGAGCTTCGAGAAACTACCTTCCAATAGTCTACTCATGACATCGAAGCTATACAACATAAATGAGCTATTTGTAAACTTTTTGGGAGATAAAGAATTGAGCAAAATTGTGAAGGCCTGTGGGGACTACATTTATTTGAAGAACCTTCGGATGGTTATCTTTAACATCAAGGAGAATGTGAACATGGATTTTTTGCGAAGCCTTTTCCGTGTCCTTATAAATAATGACGTGTGTGTGGAATTCAACCAGAGGGCCGCTCTTCAGGATGGTTGACTATGGCGAGTGTCTGTAGGGGAGGAGACGGAGTAACAGCCCCTGATTGGTTATCACTGAGATTGCAACGGTGGGTGCAAAATTGCTAACCAGATGGGCAGCACTCTCCGAAAGGGACTTCCCAGTGAAACTGGTAAATGGGGTGTTCCTCTCCTTCGCCGCGTTATGGAAGCGCCATCGGAGTACACACCGACTACCATACACATAGTTCAACTGTTATATGTGTCCCGAAAATGACGCGCCGCAGTTGTCACGTTTGATATGTGCACACATGCGTAAATATGTATCTACATATGCATGAGGCTTTTTTTTTTTTTTTTTCCGTTTTAGTTATATGCGCAAAGAGTGCAGTGACCAGTAGAAAGCTAAGTGGGACACGATGGGATGGGCTGCACATGTGTTGCCCACAATTGGGCGTAGATACCTCCGAGGTCTCCCAATTTATGCGCATGAGTAGTCAATTTTGTGTGAACAATTCAGGGAGGAACCCTCCAAGGGAAGCAGCAAGTGCTCTTCTGAAGGTATATTTCCCATTTGGAAATTATCCAGATGTTGGGAGTTTCTCCCCCCCCAACAGACACACTGTCTAAAAGGGACCCTCTTAAAAACAGTGCAATCGTTGAAGCATGTAATTAAACGGTGGAGCATATTTATTTGTTCTTACGGGGATGTAACTCCTAAATGATTTCTCCCCCTGGAAAAGGAAAACCATTGATGTGTGAAGCTGTTCGGTGTTGTTACTATGGAGTTAGGTAGTAAGCTAGATAAATAGCTACTTTTTTTTTTTTTTTTTTTTATCTGTTCATAAAGAAATGGAAAAAAAAAAAAATGGCTAGCTAAGTAGCCAAAATGAAGCAAACACAATGAGAAAAAAAACAGAAAAAAAAACGCCCTTTTCGCTTCCCCTGCGGTGTTGCAAAGCTTGGCATCAGACATACCCTTAACATAGGAGTATTAAAAACCTTTTTAATTTCGAAAAAATGAAAAGACAACATGTCGAAGTTGAATTTGCGTATTTCGGCATATCAACAAAAAGTTATTGAAGAGTAGATCGACAGAAAGGTACGACAGACAGAACTGTCCTTTTTTTTTTATTATTTTCTTCCATTTACAACAATATCGAAGTTAATTTTTTTTTATTTTTTTTTTATTCTTGGTGTATACTGCATTGGCATACCGAATTTCACTCGTTTTGATTGGTACCATTTAAAGAAAAGAAAAAAATAGTGACCCCATGTCGTAATCGCCATAATGGTCTTTACAAAGGAAAGACATCGACATGTAGCTGTTGCTACAATTTTTTATCACATCATTGCACTGTTACTGTTTAGTGGAGATGCGACAGTCCACTGGTACAGAAGAGGAAGTAAAGGTCTTCAGCGAACTATGAATGGGAGGGTCCTTCAGGAGGATGAAGTAGGCAGCTTACCAAATGAACTACGCAATTATAGTAAGACAAATTTGAGCATTCCCAGTTTCGTTCAGGTGAAAGTGAAAGACAAGCACGATAGGAAGATCAGGGGAGGGGGGGCCACTCCCGAACGGAAATATCACATCCCTAATTGCGACGACACCGAGGGAAGTTCCAATTTTTTAAAAAGATTCTACAGGTCCATGAAAGACCTCGTAGGAATCACATCACATGATAGAAGCTCTTGTTTAAGGTATGAGAAGTTCAGAAGGTTTAAACAGCACTTTGTCCACATGGTAGAGAGGAACCTATCGGTTGGGAAGACGCGCGTCTGCCTAATTGACACAGGAGTTGATCTGCAGGATGGGGTAGTAACAGATTTTTTGAGAATATACAGGGGGGAAGACAGCGAGGGGGGTGATAATCGAGGCGAGCTAAGTGGGGGTGATGAACATGATGAGCATGGTACGCATCCCCCATTGGAGGAAGACAATCATGAAGGGGGCTCTCCAAGTAGGGCATATCCGAACAGCGGAGCTACCCATTACTATGGAATAAACACTGAAAGGTGTAACGAGGACAATTATGCGACCTGCCAATCAAGCGATGTCAATGACGTAGACATGCATGGGACATTTATCGCCAACACTGTAATTAGGAGGGATTTATTGATAAAGAGGGAAACATACAGAAGGGGCGTCGAACTTATTGTGTGCAAAGCGTTTGGAGATACAGAGAAGATGAAGTCGCATTTGATGCCGCTCATCAAATGTTTGGAACATTGCAAAGAGAGGGATTCCAAAGTGATCCACGTCGGGTATAATGTGCAAGGGGAGAGCGAAAAGTTGGTGGAGGTTATGGAGCAGTTGGAGCGGGCCGAAATTGTCGTGGTGTCGCCGTCTCTGCGGGTATACGGTGGTAAAGGGGAGGAGCCTTCCACAGAGAGAATGTACCCCTCCTCCTTCGCGGACACTTTCGAAAACGTCTTTTCCGTGGGCGCCCTGCGGAACTCTCCCCAGGGGGGGCTGGTCCCCATCTCGGGTGACGCCAATCCAACGGGGGAAAGACAAAAGGGGGAGCCATTACACAGGAGGGAAAATACAACCCTGTTTAGCTTCTCATACGGAAAGACCTTTCCATTTGGGAGAAGCCCCTCCTCGATGGTGGAAGACGGACAAGGGTACGCATCGGCCGATTTTGTAAACACCCTCGTGATGATTTTTAATCTCAACCCCAAGTTGTCTGTGAGGAGAATGAGACTCATTTTGGAAAAATCCATCGTGCGGAGAGGCGAACTGAAGGAGCTGTCCAAATGGGGTGGCTATATTGACCTCTACAAAGTGATTGACGCAACGTTAAAGGAGAGGAATGAACTCTGTAAAACGTCTTCTCCAGAGTTGGACCTCGATCTGGAGGAAGAAGCAGGGAATAGGAGCTTCATGGGGGGTCTACTCAAGGGCGGATTCTCCAGAGGTGGCTTGACAGGAGACTTTGTTGACTGGGTTGAAACGGTTCCCACTGGAGAGGAGGAGCCCACTTCTGGTGAAGCTATCACTGGGGAGGTGACCCCACGTTTAGACGATACATCGGAGGAGGGGGAAGAGGCGACTACTCGTTTGGAAGACCAAGTCGTATTCCCACCACAGAGTGCTGAAATGGAAGAGATGGGAAGCCAACTTGGGGGTGAAACGTTGTGGCGGGAGGACTCGGAGGAGGGAAACGACCTGGGCTACTACGACGTGGTGCTCCCAGACGTGGAAGACTACAACGTCGAGCCAGGCGACCTGAGCTACTACCAGAGGGATGTTATTTCCAAAGGGATGGAGGATTTTTCCGATGGGGTGGCTGCTCTAAGTGAGGACCCCCCCAGTGACACCACTTACAGTAGTAGCTACAATGCTGAGGAGGATGTGTATCTCCCTGATGAGGCAAAGAAATCGTTTCATGGAGACACAGAAAGAGTGACAGTGGCAAGGGCAGCGAGGGTGTCGAGCCTCCCTTTGGGTATGTCCTTTCTGGAAAATCACACCAGTGATGAGGGAAGTGTGCCGCCTCTGAATCGAAGGAGGGAACAGAGGAAAAGGTATGGATCTGGTGAAGAAACCTTTCCTCCACTGAACGGTAGATCTCTGAGCGAAAGTGAGTCCCCAGAAAGGTGGGACCAATGGGGTACACACGCAATGGATGACGAAGACAGTGATGATAGTCTCCACGACCAAGCTCATCGGATCACTCAGATGAATGGAACTAGATATGTGGACGGCCTTGCATACGACGCGGAGAAGATGTATGGGAACTCTCCGGACGGAATGCCAGCAAGGGAGTTAGTACGCGCTGACTGGGGGTGGCGCTCGCCACCCTTGTCAGGGTGGGACCGCAGCGGGGAGACATCCTCATGGGGAGGTGAAAGCGAAGGGTATGCTTTTTATCCGGAGCGTGATGCCAAGTGGGGGGAGGAGTATCATAGCAGAAGGCGAGATCGCCAAAGAAGGCCTATACGAGGGTTACTCCGAAGGAAGCGTGCACGAGACGAACTAGGAAGAAGGCGAAGAAGATCCCCACGGGCAATGCCAAGGAAGAGGAGAAGGACCCCAACCAGAGGAAGAACTACGAAGAGGTTCAAAGGGAGACAAGCCGGGGTTGTGCGAAAAAATGGACGAACTGGAAGGAGCAGAAATGATAATCCTATGAGGTCTCAGAGCAGTAGAGGGTACGGCAAGATGGCGGTTCGTGGGAAGCCGATGCGTGGGACGCCAGTGCGTGGAAACTCCGTGCTGGCTTCTGCACCAACGATGTCACGAATGGTTATGGGAAGGAGGTAAAGCAAAGAGGTGTCACTCACCGAAAGGAGTTTCCCCCTGGAGAAAGGAGACACTCTTGCGGAGGCGCAGAATGGGATGTGAGCCGAGCTCGAGGGGGTGGGCGCATGCCATGCGGAGCATTCGTCTTTGTGTTTTGACTTGTCTACGGGTTTGCTGCTCCCCAGTTTGCTGCCCCTGCGCTGCTGCGCAGTAGTTGTCTATGAGCCCTTTTCCACCTGTGCGGTCATTAGCCCAATCGTTAAGTCACTCCACTTTCTCCTGTTTTCTCTTTTCTTAATTTTTTTTTTTTTTCTGCCAATTTACGGATGGAGACTCTTTTGCAAATTTGAAATGGGTTTGCCTCATTTGTGGTTGTTCTATGGGGGATGAGCAAAGAGAGCCGTAAATCGGAAAAGCGAGACGGCACGTTTTGCCTTCGTTTGGTCCTTTCCACCCCCCTTCGCGACTACGGGCGCTTTAGCCGTAAGTATGAACCTGTGTCTATCTGACTTTAACATGGGGACATAAAGAGGAAGGGTGCACATATCATATCGGGGGAAAGAAAAAAAAAAAAAAAAAAAAAAAAGCATCCCACTCGACTGCAACGAGAAGAACGCTTCTCCATTTATGAGCAGATAAAAATGGGAATAATCCAGGAAAAGAATCTTTTTTCTTCCTTTTAGTAGGTAGCCCTACGTAGGGGGAAATCCTACTACTAAGATATAACAATGAGGAAGTCGGGAATGAGGACCCCCTTGGTTGGGTTCCCCTCCTGGCGGGGCGTCCATACCTTGCCCCTGTTTTGGGTACTTCTAAAATGGAAGCATACGCGCATAGTGACAAAATTAGACGCTCGGATTTTTGCCAATTTGATTCAGCTGTTATGTAAGTGTGTTGATAAGATGTGATCGATGGATCATAATTGGCCGCGCGTCATTGCGGGGTGGAAAAGGGTACCCCTTGTGTGCACACATCGGGCGGTGCTAAGCGGTAAGAATTGTCTCAGTGCACACATCGCGCGGTGCTAAGGAGTATAAATAGTCCCAGTACACCTGTTCGATCTGATGAGGGGAGAATTGTACAGCTTTAAGAGGTGTGTTCCTGGAGAGTTTGTCTCTTTGGGTGTGTAAGGTGCCTCTCGCGATAAGTTCAGTTGTACTCTCCCACACGAGTTTCCTTTCCTGTATATATCCCCCATTGCGGCTTCGTTTTCCGCTTCCCTGGGGAGGAATAAAATGTCCAGTTCGTCTCAACTGCTGAGTGTGTAACAGATCATTCTTCCGGACCATTTTATTTTTTTTTTTTTCCCCCTCTTCCCCCCCGTTACTCTGTGTTTATTAGTCCGTTTACTTTTTCATGAAATGGTAAGGAGAGGAATCTTTTTTTTTTTTTTTTTACACAGAAGTTAAAAAAGATCAAAGAATAAAAGCTGCCGAACGATGGTTACTCTGGCGTAGTCCTGGCCGAAGTGTGTTTTAGGGATGAGCGCAGCAGTCTGGGTGGTTGTAACTGCCTAGCTTCGTGGAGGCAATAGTGTGATATGGTGGCAACTTGATCGTTTCTGCCTCCTCCTCATTTACGTCCCCACCGGTGCAGCGAAACCGGAATGATTACGCCCGCTTGGACATGTGCACAAGTGAAGAAAACGGAACTGCACCACCTCTGATTGAAGGGCACCGCAGCCCCCCCTCTAGCAAAAATGACGATTAGAAAGTATCACTATGCCTTGGTTTGCCTCCTCATCTCCGGGATGGTTAACCATATGCCCGTTCAATACAGAAGACACCTCATGCGTGACGTAACGGCGAGGAGAAAACATCGAACTGTTCGTGACGACTGTGGAGAGGGAAGAGTCAGTCTATTTTGCTTCCACGGTAGGGTTTTGCGTGGCGCGTCTACTGAGGTGCTCAAGGGGGGGGGATTTCAAACGGGGGTGGCTTCCTCTTCGCTGTCTTCCTCGCTGCCTTCTTCGCCCCCCTCCTCGCCGCCTTCCCCCTGTGCCTATTCCCCCCCACAAAGGGATGACCTTCTCCCAGAGGAACCACATCTCTTGGACGAAATACTAACCAAACGAGGAGGGGAAAAAATGATAATAAAATTTAAGCAAAAGGAAAACGCACCACACTCTGCGCTCATTCAAGAGAACATCGTGAACCTCCTGGGGTCCTGTGGCAGAGTGAAGAAGCTGAGCCACATAGACCTTTACCTGTATGAGACTTTTTCAAATATCAGCCAGAGAGCGATGAAGAATTGCCTGCAACTGTTGAGCAGTGGGGGCATGCTGGTGGAGCAGGACTTCCAGATACATCCCGCCGAGGGGGGGGGATGCATGAGCCGCATGGTAGACGGGGGTGATATCATAGACAGGGGTGGCTTCATTGCAATAGGCGCGATTGGCGGCGAGGCCCCTGTTAGCAGCGGAGGCAACCTACGGAGCCACCCCGGCAGCGACGGCACCTTTCATCTGAACAATCAGATAGCGTTTAAAAAATTCGTGAAGAGACTTCAAACCGACAAGAAGGGGACGAACATCATTCATGGGTATGACCAGACGAAGATGAAAGAGGGCACGGAGCTGTCGGAGCCTTACGAACAGAATGACGTAGATGTCTGCATCGTGGATACGGGGGTTGACTACGACCATCGGGATTTGCGGGGCAACATTTCGCTTGTGCTGCATGGGGGGGATGTGAGGGAAGGCCATAACGGCAGCGGTGGGGATGGCAGGGATCCTGATGAGAGCATCGGGGACGACGGTCATTGCCGTCACCACCCGCGCGGCATGGACAATCACGGGCACGGGACGTTCATAGCGGGGATCATCGCAGGCAACTCGCAGAGAAACAGTCAAGGAATCAAAGGAATTTGTAGGCGGGCTAAGCTGACCATATGCAAGGCGCTAAACAGTGAAAACGCGGGGTTCATCAGCGACATTTTAAAGTGCTTTAACTTTTGTGCGTCGAAAAAGGCAAAGATTATTAACGCCAGCTTTGCCAGTACAAAGAATTACTTATCCTTATTTGAAGCCCTGAAGACGTTAGAGGAGAAAAACATCCTCGTCGTTTCATCATCCGGCAACTGCTGCCCCACACCAGAATCGAAGAACACATTTCCAGAGTGCAATTTAGACGTGAAGAAGGTATACCCTACGGCTTACTCTACGCAGCTACGTAACCTCATCACCGTTTCGAATATGATTCAGCGAGGAAATGGAGAAGTCAGTTTGTCTCCAGATTCTTGCTACAGTGCCAATTATGTCCATTTGGCTGCCCCGGGTGATGACATAATATCTACCTTCCCACAGAACAAGTATGCTATCAGCAGCGGTTCGTCCTTCTCAGCTGCTGTGGTTACTGGTTTGGCTGCACTGGTGTTGTCCATCAACGCTGACTTAAACTACGAGGAGGTGATTGTCCTGCTGCGGGGCTCCATTGTGCAAGTCGAATCTCTAGGAAGTAGGGTCAAGTGGGGGGGCTTTCTGGACGTGCGTCACCTCGTCAGCGCGACCATCGCGCTTTCGCGCGGGATGGCGGAAGAAGCCAGGGACTGAAAAGTGCACTCCAGTACCCACTGCGGCATCCATTTGGTGCCCGTTTTTTTTTTTTCGTCCTTGTTTTTGTGCTGACTTCTTTGTTTTCGTCTGGTTCGCTTTCCGTTTTGTTCAGCTCCCTCGGAGGGGCAGCGCGTCGCGAAGGACTCCTCCCGCGGGCGTTCTAAACGAGCTGAAGGGAGTTCCTCGCTGATCTTTCCACAGGTAGCCACGTACTCAGCTGCGAGGTTTTTCGCGCTAAGTTTTTTGTGCCATATTCTTTCCTTGCCGAGTGGCGAAGCAGGTGACAAAGATCATCTCAGGTGTGGAGGTGACTTCCCCCCATATGTAGAAATGTTTGCCAAGAAATGGGGGAAAAAAAAAAAACCTACTCTGCTACTTTTACTTCATTTTTTGTTTAAACATTTTTGGTGCTCCTACATGTGTAGGCAATTTGCGCGTTTGGGTGCGGGGTCAAGCGCGTATCGCATCTCCCCTTTTCGTGGCATTTTTGTGGCATTTACGCCGCACTTTTGCGGCCTCTTTTTTCCCTTCTTGAGGGGATAAAGAGGCCATAGGAAAAGTGCTTCATGTGCTAGCGCCTTAAAAAAAAGAAAAAAAACAGTTGACCCATACCGAACGGACTAAACTCCCCAAGAAGGTTAGGGCGGCTTCGGGATGTAACGCCCCAAGGGGAGAAAAACGCATGCCATAAGGTTAGCCCATAAACCGTTGCCATGTATAATAATACAATGCATATCTCCAGCGATTGTTCCCCGACGCCAACTTGCCGAGGTGGAGACTTTACCCGCTTCTTTCCCCCGACGGGGTGCTTAAAAGGTATGCCAAACGAGGAAAAAAAAAAATGCCCCCACAAAGGAGCGCAAGCAATCCCCTTAAAGAACTAAAAAAAAATCGTTTAACAGTCCAATACGTGGAAGTAAAATGAACCCATATGCACGCCTGGTCGCCTTCTACAGGGTTAAAAATGGGTGCAATAAAAAATGATGGTTAAGCTCTAGTGGGTGTCCCCCCCGCCCCCGCTTCGGTGCCTCTCTTAAATGCCGTCGTTTAAGGACTTTACAAGAAAAAAAAGAAAAAAAAAAAGGAAAAAGGGTTCCACTGGGGGTCAAAGACGCAGGAAGGAATAATGAACGAACGAATGAATGCATAAACGAATGGCTCCTTTTAGTGAATGTTCTTTCCGCATATATAGAGGGCGATCGCAAAGGTTTAGTGCACATGTTAAACGCATTGCACGCGCGGCACAACAAATGTAGCAGTAACACCCCTGCCTTACGCGTACCATTTTGTATTCCCCCCTCCCCATGGGACGACACTCTTTATGAAGGTATAAAAAAACCGCATACAGAAGGAAAAAAAAAGAAGAAAAAGAAGAAAAAGAAGAAGAAGCGTTTCTTTTTGTAAACCCTGCAAAGCAGCTAAATTATTTTATATATATGTATATATTTTTTTTCTTTCCCTTTGACAACACTGAAAACAGCAAAAGGATCCTTTTCGCGCGTTACTCCTTGGGCAGTGAACGGCTGACGTAACATTTTCAGGAAAGCTGAATTGCTTCCAACACAAATATAGGGAGATTCACACGATCGTGCATCGCTTTACTGCCCCGCTCTTTTTTTTCCGTTCCAGAGAGAAGCCGCTTCGAAGTCTGTGAGGTAAGATGAGCGAGATGTGGCGATGAACGGTGATTCCTATGATCGTGGTCATCTTGGCCAACGGGGCCTGCGCGGCGAGGATGTAATACGCCATGGCCTGCCGAACCCCCTTGACACATTCTTTGCGCAATTGCGCATGGTTTGGCTATCGACACCGCTAATCCCCCGTCGAGATGCATGCTTCAGTTCGCCCGCATGTTGTCGCCAATTCTCCCCGTGCTGCTAAGCGCGTCCCTCGCGTGTGTTGTTGCATGGCCACACCGCTTCGTCGGATCCTAACCCCTTAACCGCTTCGTCGGATCCTAACCCCTTAACCGCTTCGTCGGATCC